TGTCTTCTTTAACTCGTTACTGTTATAAACAAGAATGCAGTGTATATTTAAGTGATAAAATAGTATAAATGTAAGTTATGTTAAATAAATGTTACGATTTCATTAGAGAAATTGATTGGCTTTTTAGCAAATGGTTACATCCTTCTATCTTTAGTTTAACTGCTCAGTTTGGCACTTTAGTTAGAGTGTTTGGAAACTTAATAAAGGATGAATTATATGGTGTTTAGATACGCACATTATGCCTCATAAATCTAAATGAACCTGTGTGGTCTTGTAAATGAACGCTGGATCGATCATAATCTGTGTTTGTTATACGCAGCAGTTCCTTTTGTTTACCCAAAAATAACAGGTGGTAGTTATCCTGGATTGGATTCAGAAGAAATGTTGCTAGGTGACCGCATTAGAAGCAGTGAAGAGAGGCTCCTTGGTGGTTTGGAAAGCTACATTGACACCTGACTGCCACATTGCTCTGATTATTTCTGTCTTGATAATGATTTGCATAAATCTAAAAATCACACAGATACTGCTTAATATAAATGAATTGACTTGGCTATGTTAGATTACACAAACAAATACATCTTTAAGGAACAGGCAGAAATAACTCATTAAAGTAACAACTGCACATTTTCACTTTTTTATAGTTCACAAATAAAGCAGATGCTTCATAAACAAACCAGGAGCTTTGCCCACTTGATGTGAGGTTTTTCAGGCAATCATCTTGGACCACTGGTCCATTGAACTTTAAAATGACACATGGTTACACTTATAATGAGGCCTCCATCATGAAAACTGAGTTATGAAAACTAGATATTTATTTTAGTTTTTTTCAATGAATCAGCTAAACATTATAAATAATTGACTAAACTTATAATAATGCCTCCATCATGAAAACTGGGTTATGAAACTAGGTATTCTATGTTATACATTATAAGTTACTCTTCACCTCTTTACTGACTATTTGTATTTTTGCACTCACACACAGCAGTGCTCACATACAGTAGATTGGTCCCACTGTGTGCCAATTCATGAGGTTAAGTAAACATAGCAAAACATTTCCCTGAACAATTTATTGAGTGCTATAAAGGTGTTGATATAACAAGCACGTTTTGTGGTATTAGCAAGTGCAGTAAAAGAAAAAGTGAAATATGCAAAGTAGCTATCTGTTTCTTGTCTATTCAAGTTTCAGTTCTGCTCTGAATCGGCTCTTGTGCGAATGTGTCAATATCCGCGGGACATGTTTGAAAACTACTAATTCCATAGGACATTTTTTAGTGAATGATTAATGCTTGATTGTTTAACATATTCATTTATCATTTTCATCATCACATATCTGATTTGTGACAGTTTTGTGGAACTCTGCCATTTTTTATTTTTTTCCATCAGCATAATTATTTTCATGCTTACATGAAATAGTTAATTATTTCATTAATAAACCACAATATAAAGCTGTTTTAAAGCCTGAGCAGATGTTAGTATTTTGCCTTCCCTTTCTCAGATTGGCACACTTCTGAAGCAGAGGAGCTATAAATATCTCAAGTGATTGGCTAAATCCAGTGTTGCCCGTCTGTTAACTAACAGGAAGCTTGGGTAGAGGATAGGTGGGACGTCTGCACTGTCCCACAGGTAGAGGTGGACAAAGTACTCAACTCCATTACTTGAGTGAAAGTACAGATACTGCTGGTCAAATATTACTCCATTACAAGTAAAAGTTGTAAAGACAGATTTTTACTTAAGTACAATACTCAAGTAAATGTACTTAGTTACTGTCCGCCTCTGCCCATGGGAAGGAAGTGATATACTCAGCCTGTAGTGTTGAGCTCATCTCAGTGTCATCCTAGCAGAGATGGACCTCTCAAAAGTTAGCGTTGTCCCAAATCCCTTTAGCACCCGCAATCTGTGCCATGTGATGGTAAACAATGTAAGCTTCTTAAGTATAATCCATCCCAGGGAGAAGAGGGCTGACACAGCTGCTCCTTGCACCTCATGCGCCTCTTCTGGGAGTCTGGCATTAGGAAAGAGGGATGCATGTGAAAGGGCATTATAAGACTGGACTGACCCAAGTGTGAGCAAGTGTGATTACCTGCATCTGATACAGCATTAATTCTTCAGCTAAATCTCATATTCACAATAAAACATTAGTTTGAATGTCCGCTGAGGAAAGCGATATCTTTGTTGTACTATCTTTCATCTGTTAATGATTTCCGATGACAGCATTGCTCAGTGCATTTGTTGGCTGCATCTTACAAGGTGTTGTTGAAAGTAAAAATACTATCTTGTTTACAACCCTGTTTCAGCCTCTTTCAATATAAAAGTCTTTACTGCTGACTCACTCATAAAACAGTCTCTTGTTGCCATCTAATGTCGGAATAATGTAACTAAAATCACTGTCACAAACACATACACACCATTTCCCAAAACGAAATACTATTATTAAATAATTACTACTGTTATATAAAAGATTAGTTTGTATATAATAATAATTCATAAACATCAACAGTCGTCATAAACGTCAAAAGTACAAAGGCAGCACTCTGATATACATATACTGGTGCATCTCAATAAATTAGAATGTCGTGGAAAAGTTCATTTATTTCAGTAATTCAACTCAAATTGTGAAACTCGTGTATTAAATAAATTCAATGCACACAGACTGAAGTAGTTTAAGTCTTTGGTTCTTTTAATTGTGATGATTTTGGCTCACATTTAACAAAAACCCACCAATTCACTATCTCAACAAATGAGAATATGGTGACATGCCAATCAGCTAATCAACTCAAAACACCTGCAAAGGTTTCCTGAGCCTTCAAAATGGCCTCTCAGTTTGGTTCACTAGGCTACACAATAATGGGGAAGACTGCTGATCTGACAGTCCATTCCAGCATGCCAATTGCACGCTCCCTCAAAACTTGCGACATCTGTGGCATTGTGCTGTGTGATAAAACTGCAAATTTTAGAGTGCCCTTTTATTGTGGCCAGCCTAAGGCACACCTGTGCAATAATCATGCTGTCTAATCAGCATCTTGATATGCCACACCTGTGAGGTGGATGGATTATCTTGGCAAAGGAGAAGTGCTCACTAACACAGATTTAGACAGATTTGTGAACAATATTTGAGAGAAATAGGCCTTTTGTGTACATAGAAAAAGTCTTAGATCTTTGAGTTCAGCTCATGAAAAATGGGGGCAAAAACAAAAGTATTGCGTTTATAATTTTGTTCAGTGTATATATACAGTATATACACACACACACACACACACACACGCTACTTTATTTATGTCATTATACTATAGCACATTATTTCTAAAGCAAAACATCCAACCAACTGCCATTTTTTTTACACAAAACAGCACAAGCACACTGTTAAAGCAAACTTAAATTTTGAATCAATAGGAGTATTATGTGTATATTAATGTTTGTCTGTCAGTATATCTCTTTTCCTGTTGTTCTGACAGTATTTCTAAACCGCATCAGTCTCTGCAGGCAGGTAATGAATCGAGGAGGTGTATGGTCATCATCAATGTCATTTCCACACAACATCAGAGAGAACAGAAATAGCTCTTTTTGTCCCTGCAGTCTATCACACAAGGGTACGGCTCTCAGCCCTGAGGCATATCTTTGATGCTTGTGACCTATGTCACACACACATAACCAGTGTTAAAAAGTGGTTAGCTTTATATTTTGAAATGTTACGACAAGTCTGAAGAGAATCACATTGTGTTAATGATCCATTCGTATTTCATTATCTTACAAATTATGACCTAATGAGAGTCAGAACTGAGGCACATCCTGGTTTGTTTTTGTTTCCATAGATTACCTCTGTGGTCCAGAGCAGAACATACACAAGATCGACTTCACCAGGTTCAAAATCCGAGACATGGAGACAGGCACGGTTCTTTTTGAGATCACCAAACCCCCTACAACAGGTAGGCAATGAGCCAGGCAGCAGACCTCTCAAATTCACTTCCTCACTCCACCTACACAGACTGCACATTTAAATGCAAGGCTCGTTTTGATTTTTTTTCCCCATAAAGCCCTGATTTCCATTTAGATGCAGTGCACTGCACAAGAGCCCTTCAAAGGCTCGTTCGGTAATGCCAACCCCTTTCTGATTCACAGAGAGTGGGGAGGGCAGAACGGACTTTGACCAGAATGCCGGGCGCTTTGTGCGTTACCAGTTCACCCCCGCTTTCCTCCGACTACGCCAGGTTGGCGCCACGTAAGTGCAATCAATGGCAGGATTACACTTGATCTTAATTGCAACTTAAAATTAGCCTGAAATCACACTTCACAATCTGTTTGACTTCATCTTTAAAGGGGTCATATTATGATGTATCAAGTTTTTCTTGATATTTTGAGATAAATGGGTTAATTATACTTTAAAAATCATACTGATTCTCAACTTCCTTCCAAGTTAAAAAAGACCATGTTACAGCACTGTAACACATGAGCCATCTTGTCAAAGGCAGTAATGAGAAGAAAGTAGGATACCATTAGTCCTACACACAAGAATAACCAAAGATAACTAATGATAAGAGGAAAATGTAATTAAAAATTGGTTTAGTAAGGTAATTGTGAGATAAAGGTTAAAATAAGAAAGTGAAGTGGCTTTATATACTATATTTTATATTATTTATAGCTGTTTTGTGAACTTGTCACAGTGTAATACGAGAGGCTATAAAAGTGACTGTTATTAAAGGATAGGGAAGAAAATATATTGTATAAGCTGTATTACATTTCACATGTGACAAAAATGTTTACATTGAAGTCTTAAAGGTGTGGTAGCAATAAACATTCTGTACATTACCATTCAAAAGTTTTATTCAGCTTTATAATTATTTATACTTTTATTCAGCAAGGATGCATTAAATTAATCAAAACGTACAGACAATGCATTTATAATGTTATTAAATGTCTATTTCAAATAAATGCTGTTTTTGAAATTTCTATTCATCAAAGAACCCTAAAATAAAGTATCACAATTTCCATTAAAATATTAAGCAGCAAAACTGTTTTCAACATTGATAATAATAAGAAAAATCTGTATATCAGAATGATTTCTGAATAATCATTTGACACTGTAGACTGGAGTAATGATTTGCCATCACAGGAATAAATTAAATTTTTAACCGTATGAAGCCAAAAACAAAATTCAGTTGTAATAATATTTCAAAATGTTACTGATTTTACTGTATTTCTGATTAAATAAATTCAGACTTGCTGAGCATTAGAGACTTCTTTCTAAAACATCAAATCAACCCTATAACATGGAAGGAGCTATTTTCATTGCTTCAAATCCATGTCCCCTTAAATGTGTCCTTTCCCACCTCCACAGGGTGGAGTTCACTGTAGGGGATGTTCCCATCAACAACTTCCGAATGATCGAGAGGCACTATTTCCGTGGGCAGCTGCTGAAGAGCTTTGACTTTGAGTTTGGTTTCTGCATCCCGAGCAGTAAGAACACCTGTGAACACATCTATGAGTTCCCACCACTCTCTGAAGAAATAAGTACATTCTAAATGTTTTTATCAACTGTTTGCTATTAATTAGTTTGTGATCTTTTGGCTGGACCTAATATATGACACTGTGTTTCTTGTATCCCTCCATAGTGCGTGAAATGATCCTTCACCCTTATGAGACGCAATCTGACAGCTTTTACTTTGTGGACAACAAGCTTGTGATGCACAATAAGGCAGATTATTCTTACAACGGTGGATCGTAGGAAGTCATTCTCACCTTTTGCATTGAGTTGCAATGAACCGGCAGAGGAAAGTGGCATCTAGGCATCTAATCTTATATGTGATGATGCATTTGGTTAAAACAAACAAAAAACACCCCAATCTCAGGATTTGTGTGTGTGTGTGTGTGTGTGTGTGTGTGTGTATATGTGTGTGTATGTGTGTGTGTGTATGTGTGTGCCCGTTTTTGTGACAAATGAGGACATAAATTTGTATAATGACAAAGGTATGACATAGCTATTACAAGGAGAAGGTGACTTTTCAGGACATTACCCCATGTCCCCACTTTTCAAAACGCTTATAAATCACACAGAATGGAGAGTATTGAAAATCTGAAATAGCAAAAAGTCTCCAGTAAGGTTTAGGGGTAGGGTTGGTAAAGGGCAATAGAATATACGGTCTGTACAGTATAAAAACCATTATGCCTATGGGATGTCCCCACTTTTCACAAATGTAAACCTGTGTGTGTGTGTGTGTGTGTGTGTGTGTGTGTGTGTGTGAATGTTGCTCAGAATGGGCCAGTGCTACTTTTTTCCTTAGAATCATGTAAAGTATGTGATAACTCTGTCTCTTCGAGGATACGAGTGTGCCTGTGCACATGCACATTCATTGCATGCTCTGTTTTTTATGTGTTTTTCAAAGCCCAAAGCCAAATAATTCTAAACAACCCTGATTTTTGATTAAATGTTCATACAGCGATGTCGCTCAAGGCTTCTAAAGCATAAAAAGAGCATCATGTTGAGTGGGTTGAAGATACAGTGACCAGTAGTAAACAGTAGTTTACAGTGTGTAAAGGAAGGGATACTGTCAGGAACTGTGTATTTTGCGCTGACATTGCACCCACTTCCCGTTGGCCTCCACAGAAGGGCCTAGTTTTGCTTTATTTTTCTCACTTTCATTTTTGAATGCTCATAATTTGGTCGATGATGTAAATCTATGTTATTTATATTAATATTCTCTTATTTATATTGATATACATTGTCACACATATTTTTAATAGCATCTTTTGTCAAATAATAGTGATAAATATCTTTGTCAATTGTTTCATGTGATTTAACAAAAAAAGAGAAAAATAAAAATTCCAAAGTTCTTTAAACCATCATAAGTTTGATTTAATTCATTTATTTTACACATGAAACTCCTCCATAGTGGTTTCATTCAGATAAAACCATATTTAAACTGTACACTATCATCCAAAGGTTTGGGACAGGTAAGAATATTTCATAATAAATCTCTTATGCTCTCCAAGGCTGCATTTATTTGTTCACAATTATAGTAAAAACAGTAATATTGTGAAATATTATTACAATTTTTTAAAAAACTTTTCTATTTGAATACATTTTAAAACTTAATTTTGCTGATGTAGTGCTCAAGAAACATTTATTATTATTAACACTGACAAAAGGTGTGCTGTTTAATATTTTGTGGGTGTTTTTTTTTGATAAATTGATAAAGATAAATAAATCAGCATTTATTTGAAATACATTTTTTGAAACAATGTAAATGTCTTTTGATCAATTTAATGTGTCCTTGCTGAATAAAAATATTGATTTCTTTAAAAAATTTAATCTGATTAACCGCAAACTTTATAGTTCTGTAGGTAGTCAAAAGAATAATATATGATACAACCAAGGGCAAAAATAATAATTTACAGTAATAAACATTGCTATATGCTACATGTTCAAATCAATTACAATAAAGCAAAATGCATTGATCTGTTGTATACAGTGTATTATTATAACACAAATGCCTTATATGTTGTGATCATATATGCATCTGTCTTAAGATTCAGTTATGGTAGTGCAGTAGATCAGATGAGCCCACCTCAGGTACTGTATTATGAACCTTTTGAAGAATTTTGACAAACAAAAATCACTTTAACCTATGCTTGAAGAGATCTAGTAAAATCCTGCAATACGGGAGATCTGTTTTAACTTGTTATAGTGCTTTCAATGTGTGTTGCTATGGAAAGACAGTATAAAAAGAGGCAACCACATCCCCCAGTGGATGCCATGGTAAATGCAAACAACAATCAATAATAACTATATGATAAGTCTAGAACACCTTATTAAAATATTACCAACTCACTTTTACACTTTAAAAAAACACTTGCACAAAAGCAACTAAATATTAATATATTGTTGAATTTCAGCAAACAATATAAGACAATTTAGGCCACATTCAAGTGATTTTGAGCATTAAATGCTTACAGAAATGTTTGGAATTTCCAAAAATACCAATGGAAGGATTTTAGAACCCACTAGGGGGACTCCACAAACGTATTACTTATACTCAAAACGACTTAAGATAAAAACATGCATTCAAATATAGATATAAGAATTAAGATATTTCTTATTTTAATTCAACATCTCAACAACTCTTTTTTTTCCCATGTCCTACTGGAAAACCTGGATATATGAGGTAGCCTAATTATAAAGGTAAGATCTAAACCTAGAAAAGTTATGTGAATTAATGAAATCTTATAACTTCATGGGCATTCATTATGTATATTTATTTTTCTAGTTATGCCAAGCTCTAGAATATTTTATCAGGTAGAAATTGTGAGTGGCGTCTTTGAATATTCTTCTAGTTAATGGGGGGTCTTTTTTTAAAAAAAAAAAAAGGATTTTCCCAAGATGTAAATAAAATAAATATTACTGGAATATGTTAGTTTTTCTACTAAATTGTTACCTGCTTTGTAGCTAACTAATTGTGAAATGTCCTAGCAATTTCGGAGTAAAAATTAATTCTGCAACTATTTTTTCAGTGTAGAAAAATTGGTTTAGTGGGATTGGACAGCATACTGCATTTAAGCAATAAAAGCATTAAAACTAATGTCATTTTTATAACTCAAGCACACCATTTAGCACAGAAATCATACTTTTTAGACATTCAAAAATATAAACTTTTTTCTATTTTGGACAGCAAAGATGATGCAGGGTTTTTTGTTTTTTCTCATAGCAGAGGAATAGGGGTTGTGTAGAGCCCACTGAAATAAAGCTCAGAAACGCTGCCTTGCACCCCACCATCAGTCTCTGCTAAACCCCCACAGAGCCCCACGCTATCCCGTGTTTGATTGGGACTGTCCATGACTACCAGTGAATCCGGAGCGAGGCTGTCATTCCTTAGCTCCTCCCAAAGATTCCCTTTAAACAAAGACGGACAACAAGTCGTGAACAACAAAGCAGCTCAACCGCTGCAAACATGGCTAATGTTTCAAACTCGATCTTACCATGTAGTTGTAGATCTGTGAGGCTGGGATTTAATGCATCGACATCATTACTGGTTTCTCCATCCAGCAGAAGCTCCTGCATGCTTGCTGTAGTGCTGTGACCAGCCTGCAGGGCGGTGCTGTAGCTCGGTGGGGTGTGTGCTGGTAAGGGGGAATCCAAGCAGCCTGTCCTGGGACTGGAGGGATGCCCGGCACTGGGCTGATGGGTGACAGGCGGGTAGTATGAGAAAGATAAAGGGCCTGGGGATAAGTAGGGGGGAGGCGGGATGACAGTTTGAGAGGGTAAAGGGTTGTAGAGAGACTGCTGATGCGGGATGCTAGTGTCATGGACAGGTTGGTGTCCGTAAGCAGGATGCATGGCAACTCTTAAAGGTTGAGAATGTGTATGGCTGCTTGGTTGACTGAAGTGAGCTCCAAGAGACTTCAGTTTTTCAGGTCTCTCCCCAAGAAGGCGTTCCAGCTCCTCTAAAACAATGAGCATAAATACATATTTTTCATATATATTATATAAATATATATTTTACAATATAAACGAGCCATATTGTGTAATATCTAAAACGTCTGAGGTCCGTAAGATTATCGGCCGATAGTGATAGGTAGCCGATCAATCGGAGCACCGCATAATGTTACAAAGATTTATGTCTCAAATACATTTTGTTCTATTGAACTGAATATATCAAATGTAATTGAATGTATCACAGTTTCCCCAAAATATTATGCAGCACAACATTTTTTAACATTAATCATAAGAAATGTTTCTTGAGCACCAAATCAGCATATTAGCAAGATTTCTGAAGGATAATGTTACACTGAAGACTGGAGTAATGACTGCTGAAAATTCAGCTTTGCCATCACAGAAATAAATTCTATTTAAAAATATATTGAAATAGTAAACAGTTCATTTAAATTGTTATAATATTTCACATTATTACTGTTTTTACTTTATTTTTGATCAAATAAACGCAGTCTTTGTGAGCATATATAATAACACTTTAACATACACACACACACATATACAGTGGGTACGGAAAGTATTCAGACCCCCTTAAATTTTTCACTCTTTGTTATATTGCAACCATTTGCTAAAATCATTTAAGTAAATTTTTTTTCCTCATTAATGTACACACAGCACCCCATATTGACAGAAAAACACAGAATTGTTGACATTTTTGCAGATTTATTAAAAAAGAAAAACTGAAATATCACATGGTCCTAAGTATTCAGACCCTTTGCTCAGTATTTAGTAGAAGCACCCTTTTGATCGAATACAGCCATGAGTCTTTTTGGGAAAGAGGCAACAAGTTTTTCACACCTGTACTTTCCGTACCAACTGTATATATATATATATATATATATATATACAGTATATGACTGAAATTGATTTTTTTGATTTAACCTTCAGTAAGGATGCATAAGGGAATCTCCATACTTCTGTCTATAGAAAACCTACTGGTCGAAATACTATTCTGCATGGAGAAGTTTCCATCCTCCATAGCTAATTAAGAATATCCCGTATGGACAATTTCAGAGATTGAGACGGATATGTGACTCAGATGAGGATTTTGAGGTGCAATCTACTATTTTGACACAGCGTTTTCAACAAAGAAGATATAGTTCATCAATATTAAAAGAAGCTCATGGTAAAGTCCAGTTGCTCAAGAGGGATGAATTGTTGAACAAAAAACATAAACTAAATGTAGGTCTTAACAAGTTACATTTTGTCGCAAAATATTGTAAAGAAGCGACACAAATCAAACAGATTAGCCTATTCAAAGGAATTGGAATATTTTACAAGTTGATGAGACTCCAAGAGAAATTTTCAAAGAATCCCCTGTTTTTACTTTTAAACGTGCTCCAACAATAAAGGACAAATTGGTGAGGAATTTTCTTCCAGCTTCAAGACGGGAAACATGGCTAAGACGACCTAAAGGGAATTTTAGCTGTGGTAACTGTAATTATTGCATCAATATGGTCCGGACTAATACCTTTGAGGACAAAAGAAACAAGAAGAAATTTGAGATCACAGATTTTATTAATTTACAGATTGGAATGTCCATGTAGGCCTAAGTGTTTTTATGTGGGACTCACTAAGAGGAGGTTACGTGATAGATTGGCTAAACATAGATATGCAATGTGGACTGGTAACATGAACTATCCGATGGTGAAACACTTTATACAGGCCAAGCATGGTAATGATAGTAATTTGAAGGCCATTGGAATCGAACAGGTGACATTAAATATCAGAGGTGGAGATAGACTTAGACGGTTAAAGCAACGGGAAACTTATTGGATGCATAAATTGAATGCTCTCTCATGTCTTAATGTGTATATTGATTTTTCTCCATTTTTGTAATTATTAGTTTTGCTTTGAGGTGCTTTTCATTTTTATTTGTTCAATTGTAATATATTTATTCTTATATAGGTTTGAAAAAATATACTTCTGTATGCTGCAAATATATATATATTTTTTTTTTTTTACTGTAATGTTTTTTGGGATTGTCTGTGATATTGGCTATTTCATTTCATTATTTTTGGGTCGTATGTGAACGTTTTTGGATTGTTGGAGAAATTCATGAACTCCCAAGAGACATCTAGTGGTTAGATCCGGAAAATGTATAGTCACTCACAGGTATTTTTTTTTACTGTAATGTTTTTTGGGATTGTCTGTGATATTGGCTATTTCATTTCATTATTTTTGGGTCGTATGTGAACGTTTTTGGATTGTTGGAGAAACTCCCAAGAGACATCTAGTGGTTAGATCCGGAAAATGTATAGTCACTCACAGGTGTATCTATATTTAGCCACTTTTTGCTCTCTATTGTCTAACACCCTGATGAAGGCCTGATACGAGTTGGTATCTTTTAATATGTAGCCCTGTCTTAGAATAAAGCCTTTTTGCTTTGCTTACTATGCGAGTACCTGGATGTGGATCTCTTTGTATTTTGCTACAGGAAATACCAAATATACTTTGTCTTTCTTTGTCTATTCTGAACATAGATTTTTATTATTATTAAATTGTTGTAATTGTAGAATTATTATTTATATTTGTAAACATTTTAGCATTAAAATAACATGAAAGCATTTTTTTTTTATAAAAGGATAGGAGCATACGTATACAATGCATTTACAATAATCATATTGCATAGGTTAATTTGGGTAATCTGGGACATTTCTTGCACATTTAATGTTCAGACCAACAAATATGACCTTGAATATTACAGTATTTGCCTAATGGCATCTGATCCCTTTGCGTACCTGGTCGGGCCATGCTCCTCCGGACAGTCAGGGGATCTTTACGTCTCCACTTGTGAAGTTCCTCCTGCATCTTTTCTACCTTCGCTGGGTTCAGGGCCCACAGGCAGCCCTTTCGAGAAGAGTTCCCATTCTTGTTCTCCACTTTCTCAAAGCATTTGTTCAAAGAGAGGTTGTGTCGGACAGAATTCTTCCATCCATCAGGTGCTGTCTGAGGAATAACAAATAAAATAGTGGTTCATTATGGCATTGTAAAGTGGTTGCTACGTTGGTTTTTAGAATATTCTAAGGTGTTCACAGAAAGAACTGAATCTAAAATAGAGATTGCACCATTCATTTCTCTAACCAAGCTTCTTTCTTACAACCCTTCCCTCAGTGAAGTCAACACTGGATAGGTATGGATCTGCATGTTTACCTAATGATGATGAGCCAAAATAATGTCACACTGTAAATCCCTTTACCAGCACATTGTCAAGAGGAGGGTGAACCAAATCATCAGGTATATAAAGATCATGCCATAACAGGCATATTCCACAAAGCCCGAGGAAATTACTCCTGGTAAATAACTCTGTTTGCATTCTGTATTTGTTACATTAATCATGCACAGGCTTCTCCAAGGTATCACTGTAGATCAAAGTATATTAGATGTAGAAATTATTCTGAGATGCAGTAGTGCAGTTTACCTTAAAGTAGGGGAAATGCTCTGTCATGAAGCTGTAGATCTCACTTACTGGTAGACTGCCTGTTTTGCTATTCCTCAGAGCCAGGAAGATGAGAATACTGAAAAGAAATATTCAGCAATGAAAAGTTGCAATCAAACTGTGATGCATTGGTTTATTTTGATTTGTTTGGTTGTGTTGTAAGTTACATTTTTATGCATTTGGCAAGCAATTTTATCCAAAGTGACAGCACATTCACATGAATAATAATAGGAATTCAATCTTTTCATTACAGACTGCAGATTACATAGTTTAGCTGTCAGCAGTTTCGTTTTTTAAAAAGAATAATATAATAATTTTAAATAGAATGACAGTTAGGTTGTACTGTAAATGTTTCGTTCCTGAATGAACCGGTTAAATTAATTCAGTGACTTACTCATAGCACTGTCACTTGTCACCACCTACTGTCTATGTAACCTGCAGAAAGAATCACTGAAAAATCTCCATTACTAATGCACAGACTGACAGTCTGACTAAACTAACTGTTGTATAATATGTGGGCCCTGAGACTATTTAGAGCTAACAGGTTTCAGATGACAGTGAACAGATGTTTTAGAGAATGAGCTGCTTTGAAAAGATGCCTTAGTTTAGCAGGATAGAACAGTTGAAGTGCACATACGTACCTGTAAGAGTAGACAGGTTTAGGGTAGAGTGTCTGGACAGAATTGTCTTGAGATGTTTGTGTTGAGAGGCTTTGGTTATAGTAGTGAGAAATAGTGTCTATTCCTCTTGAAGAGTAAAACTAGTGACAGTCATACACACACACAAAATTAAAATCCACAATAAATGCTTATTTGTGTGGTTATTAGTAGTTTTATTTTTAATTGATTTTAATTTTTAAGCTTCCATTACGTAATACATCCATATTCAACAAGCATGAGTCTTTGTTATTTGTCAGTCTAAAGATGTAGCAGAACTTCCTGCCAATGTTTTGACTGTGAACATGCATCCAAAACCATTTGATCATGTCTACTTTCTTACACATGCCAAAGCTAACCTACAGTAGTCATACTGACTTCCTTATAATTTATTATATAGCCATACATTACAGTTCAAAAGTGCAGGATGCGTTTTTAAGTTGTTTTAATCAAGAATGATGCATTAAATTGATCAAAAGTGACACTAAAGACTTTTATAATTTTACCAAGAATTTTATTTCAAATAAATGCTGTTCTTTTAAACTTTCTATTCATCAAAAAAAAAATGCTGAAAATTCAGCTTTGCATCACAAGAAAAAATATTTCTAAATATAAAACACATAATAATATTTCACAATCTTACAGTTTTTACTGTATTTTTGATTTGGTGAGATAAGAGACTTCTTATGAACATAAAACAATTCTACCAACCCAAAACCTTTGAATGTTAGTTTATATAATCAGAATATCACGCATTCGTTCACTCTGTCAATATCAGGTGTACCTGATGTTGTAGAGGACTCATGGGACTGTAGGTCTGATGGTTTACTGCCGTGAAGCCGGGAGGTTCTTCAGAGCTCGTCTGAGGCTCACTGTAGGGGTGTTGAGTTCCCTGCCCCATGCAAGAACAGACCACGATCTACTTAATGCTGACATATCATATGTTAATGCATTTTTAGAAAGTGTAATAAGGACATCTGCTTGCACATCTGCCTGGCAGGTTTTCTTGTTTCCATGTCTTTTGCCCCTGGCAAGAATTTAAAAGAGCTTTCATGCCATATAGGTTATCTTGACTTTAGTTATATGCTGTATGATTTTCCTTTCTTTTTAATTATTTTTCTATACTGTGCAAATTCCTCTAAACGTATAGGAAAACTCATATTTTTTTCACCTGAACAAGAAATCGTACATTTTTGATTAAATAGTCCCTCAGTCTCACCATGACACCGGTGGTCTCCACATCAGTGCTTAATGGAGTCCAAGAGGATTGCTCCTCCATTCCATCACTTGTGGTGAGTTTCCCAACCAATCCAGCTCTTCTGAGACAACTGAAGGTCTGAACCTCACTGATGGCCCCTTCACTGCATTGACGCCTGTATGGATGGTAGTGATTGTTCTCCCTTAGGCCAGATTCTTGTCCAACAGGGCTTCCATCTACACTGTGTCTACGAAAGCACTCGGCACTCTTCTGCCTGTAGGGAACGCTTTCTCTGTGGGAGTACGGTGCAAACTCTTCTCCAACATTGCTCTGGTGACACTATAGATTAAACAACGAAATCATGTAAAAACATATAATATCTATCAAACCTGCATCAATAAGAAATTTGATACAACCTAAAATTGTATAGTATCAATATATGTGAAACATATTCCGGGTAAAGCCGCGCCGCAGTTTCATTTCTAATGAATGCACTCTTTAACATGAAGCAGTTTTCCAAGAGGAAATGCAGTAACACATAAAGATCTTTGATCTGTTAAAGAGTCCATAAAAGCATTTAATGTGACACTGCCTTCCCTGGGGGCCATAATTAATTCATATAAAAAAAATCAAAAGGATTTGACGAAAAGGCAGGATGAAATACTTCTATTTCTGCCCCGGGGTCTTGTGTCCTTGAATAGTGTCTTGTGCAGGGGTTCATGTCCTCATCATACCGTAATAATTATGACACAGTGTCATAATCAGAGCAGCTGGTGAGCAGCAATTTTTAAAAAACGGTAACTACAGAACAGTCTGGACTGATGTTGTAGAACCAACGACTTGTCAGAGAGTTTCATCTGGATTCACATACAGAAGATAGATGACCTTATATGTCATTTTTCAAAAACACTATCTGTCTGTCTATCTATATATCTATCTATCTATCTATCCATCCATCCATCCATCCATCCATCCATCCATCCATCCATCCATCCATCCATCCATCTATCACGATGTAAGTAGAAAGATAAAACATCTTATTTATTCATTCATGGTCTGTCTATATACCTACCTGTTTATTGACTGGTTGACAGTTCTGTAAAAAGAATATGAAAAAAAGAAGTCTATAAAACGACATAATTCCAAACAAAGTAATACAAAATTGATAAAAAAATGAAAACTAAAATTAAATGATTAATACCTGTGATTCTGGCATCTGAATGCAGGGCAACCCTTGATGGTCAAAGGATTGAGGGTCGCCTGGAGAAGGAATCGGTGAGCTTCTGCTGCTGCTGCTTACAGATGGGAAAGGCAGGCCCTGGGACTCAGAGGACATCGTCCCTACAACCTGCTTCTTCAAAACACCACAGGTATAGATTGATAAGGTGACCGTGATTTCACCAAGTACAACATGTTCCTGGATCAACATCCTTGTTGATCCTGGAACAACATTCCTATCAACCAATCAGAATTGAGGGATAACTTTTCAGGAAATATCTGTTTTAGGCTTACGATCAGGGTTAGGTGCTTCTACACCCTTGTTAATCAGCTATCATTTCACACTGATTTTAGGAATAAATTATAGGTAGGGTTAGGTTTAGGGGTAGGGATTGGGTTTAATCTATATTTATGGGCAGAAATGTTGATCCAGGATCAACAAAAGATCCAGGAACATGTCTTACTTGGCAAAATCACGGCGACCAGATTGATAAATAGCCCAAATAGAGATACTGTAATTTACAAATATGGTCCCAAAAAAAAACAACAATGTAGGCTACCCTCAAACATTTTCACACCCAAGTGTCAGGGTCTGTGGTGTTACACAGAGGAATGCTGTCATGCTTGTTGGCTTGACCCTTGCTAAATTGGGGGCACACATGGTCCTGTTTTCAAGCACATTTCACAACATAGGAATATATATCCAGTTATACATTAATGCAAATGCAACCAGTTAATGCAAAATCACCTCACTGTGAATATATGCACATTATTTATTACGGTAACAATCAACCTTCAGTCATTTTTTCCTAAAGGCATTTCCATGTCTCCAAACAATCTGTCTCCCTAGCTATTTGGCCTTTGGGCAAACCTACAGTTTTACATGCCATAACTGTGTAACTGCTTGTAATGAAAATCCCTTTCCAACTGTCTGCTATGCATTTTCTATAACAGTGCTGGTCTATGTTCTCTTTTGCAGTGAAAGAGGCCCGATTTGCTGTATTTCACTGCCCTGGCTGCTATCTGATCATAAACAGGTAAAACATAAGGCCAAATAAGTATCTGGTATTCTGGGAAATTCAGGTCACTCTCACTTACTGTCAGCAGACTGTGCTGTTTGAGCCAAAAACTCATTAAAATTACCAACAAACCATAAAAGAGAAGCAGAAGTGTGTTAGAGACATGAAATGGAGATGGGGGAGTTTTGCTCCCTCTGAAACATAGAGTGTAATTCAGTATTGGAGAGGAGGTTGAGTTGGCCTTTATGGTCCATCACTGTGACTTTTAAACTGATCATTTGACCTGTTATGGTTGAGATACAAGCTATTTCTTGAGAGAAAACAGCTGAGTATGCAAAAAGGTCATGGGGTGCTTGTGTGTGTTTAAAAGAGAATTGGGCAAGCAAATGAGGCAGGATAATTTAATAGCAGGATTTTATGCTATATAAAAATTTAAAGTATATGTTTTTTAAGTATTTTACTGTAAATAATCAAATAACTGAAATGTATAAATTAAGTATTTAAAAAAAGTTATTATAAAACGGATAGTTCCGGTCCTTGATTCTGATTGGCTGAGCCACATTCGAAGCTGTTGTAAATTACTCTACAAATATACACCTTTGTTTACGTTTGTGTGTTGCAACCACAACTGATTTTGAGGAACTACATTGATTGGGGGAAGAATAATGTTTTTATTAATATCCTTACACTTTATTTGCTCTGTTTTATTTTGTGAAACCTTACTATGTACAGTGGGGCAAAAAAGTATTTAGTCAGCCACCAATTGTGCAAGTTCTCCCACTTAAAAAGATGAGAGAGGCCTGTAATTTTCATCATAGGTATACCTCAACTATGAGAGACAAAATGAGGAAGCCGTGGTTTACAGTGAATTTATAACAGCTAAGGGGGTTTTAGGCACTCCGCTTCGCGCTTCTTCACGGCTTCTTCGCGGCTTCTTGGGGCTTATTGCTTTAATTTACACAGCTCTCTGCTTCTGGTTGGACATTTACTGCAATCACCGTCTTGGCTCAAACAGATAATTGATATCATTGTCATATTGTTGCGATGCTTATTTTATTGCTAGACTGATGGTTTTGTATGTGGACTATTTATAGAATATACAGGTAAAAAAAAAATAATAATTAGCTGTGCGATTAAAATGTACTTTGTGTAGCTACATATTTTCCTTCCCTTTACCTTTATATATAATAAATTACAAAAATATACAGTATATTCTGAACAAAGGATAAAAAGAAATAACATTTTGTAATGCATAAATGTACATTCTTAATATAGTGTGTAAATGACATAAATCTGGGTAAAACAGCAATAATGTGGTTTCTAAAAGCTACAACTGATAGTTTTAGATGATTTATCATATTTAGTATTATGTAGGTGTGTTCAGCCAATAGGAAGTCACTGCATGATTAGATTCAAGTTCAGTTAATCACTGCTTTGAGGTCAATTTAATCAAGTCGAACTTAAAATGAAACCAAATAAGATTTTGCTCATGTTAATATGTCCACTGGGATTAAGTTACAATTTTTCTTGATTTATTAAAGAAGGATAAATTCAATTATTCCTGCATGGAACCTGAACTCATAAAGAGCTTTATTACTACTGTTGGCCCAACCAAGTACTACTCAAAACATGCTGCAAACTTAATAAAAGTGGGTTCTTATTTAATATCAATTGATCGGGTTGTGCTTGAATGAATTTTTAATTGACATTTATTTGATTTGGCACACTGAGAAGTGTTTTTTATAGAATTATATTAGCAGAAAATTGAACAATTAAATTTTTCCATCAGCATCAAGCAAAGGTCAGACTGCTGAATTAGGTCAGTAAGCCATGCTATATAATCATCTAATACAAGTGTGTGTGTGTGTGTGTGTGTGTGTGGGTGAAGATCATCTGGAGTGAGTAATAATAAAAGTGCTGAGACAGTTATATTCTAAAAGTACTTCATTTCAACACTCCTTCCTCTCTCAATATGATCACATTTATCTCACTTTGATCTGGTCTGTTGCATCTCCATACAGCCCCACCCCTGCACTAAAACCGCTCTCATCACATTTGAGTGGCATTTCAAATGGACTGTGCATCTTCCTTTACACTGTCATCCATCAAGTAATTGGTAGGATTTCTTCCTGTATGTCTACAACAGCACTTTCACTGCACTTCACTGGAAATACATCTGTTTAAAAAAAAACCTGTATGTAGTACTTCCTACTTCCCCAAATGTACTCAAATTGCAGAATCTTCACTTAAGGAACAGTTCATCCAAAAATGAATAATCTGTCATCATTTACCTCATGTCGCTCCAATCCTGTATATTTTTTTCCCCTGAGAAATTCAGCGGAATGTTGATGCTACTGTTTTACACACAATGAAAGTAAATGGTGACCAGCAGCTGCTAAATGCTAGTGTTTATTGATAAAATTCAATTAAGAGATGTTCTTAGTAATGTGCTCATCTTACAACTCAGGGAGCAAATAGAAACAACCAAACCCTGCACCTGACAGAAATTTCAGTATAAGCCTTCCAGCATAAACTTCAAATATATTAAAATCTACAATACTTGTAGTTTAATAGTTTCACAGCATTTCATAATAAATTATTATTAATATTATTAATAATATTATTTGAATTATATTTATACTAAATAGAAATATAAGCATTAAACATTAATACAAATATAACAATAAATACAACATTATCATTAATCATACTATCAATATTTGTCATTATTATCTATTTGAAGATATAGTTTTCATGTTTATTCAACGATTTAATGACTTCAAATAAATTAGACAGATATGAAACCATCATTATTTTGTAGGGTTGTCAAACGATTAATCGCGATTAATCACATCCAAACTAAACGCTTGTGTTTACATAATATGTGTCTGTACTGTGTATATTTATTATGTATATACAAATACACACATGCATGTATATATGTAACACACAATATTATATAAATATTAAATTTTTCTTAAATATAAACATGCATGTGTGTGTATTTATATATACATAATAAATATACACATTACACACACATATATTATGTAAACTCACATTTTTATTTTGGATGCGATTAATCGCGATTAATCGTTTGACAGCCCCTATTATTTTGATGGCATCAGTAATAAGAAATGCTCAGTTCATACTCTAACAATGTATTTAGATCAGGTTTTTAGATCGCAGCTGCCATATCTGTGATCATATATTTGTAATATTACTCATTAAATAATGAATTGCATTCATCTAATAGCTCATACCTTGTTAAAAATAAATCTCAGCTCTGAGCTTCCAACTGGGAATTTGTAAAAGGCTCAGTCCATTTGGCCCCTAGCCAACCTGTGGGAGACACACACCCACAGGGGACAGACCTGCTGCAACAGGTTTTCCCATACACATGCACATGTGCACACACGTGTGCGCGCAGCCACACACACTTGGGTCACTGGCAGCTGGGAGCCTCTTTTAGAGCTAATGAGAACATATTTTAAATGTTATATCAGACACATCCATAATCATATCCCGGAGAAAATGGGCACTCTGACGAACTTCAGCACCCAGAGGGAGACGACCATACCGATAGAATCTGACTGCACCTGCCTTGCCTTTCCTTCTCTCTCCTGTATCCCTCTCTTCTGTTTCCTAGATGAACTTCAGCGGAGATTTCATCCAGGTGGAGACAAGCCTAACAAGAACCCTGAGGGACATTTCTTGGTGCCTTATTTATTGGTGCCAAACGGGATACAGTGTTACAATAGTATCTGTGTAAGTGAAAAGTAAATCCCACAGATGCTTACACGTGCGTACGCCTTTCCTTTGGACTTCTTAGCTTAGATCTAGCTCTTCTAGAATGTTATTTTGCTGCCAATGAAGCCCTACCACAATGTTGATCCTAGTATGTACTAAATGGAGAAAACTGATGACTGTAGTGCATACTAAGAACAAAAATGTTCACTTACCGCTGTGTGTGGTGCTTCCAGGCCCAGGTTGTAAATCTAAGACAGTCTGAGTCCACACAGATACCTGCAAACCAGCTGCAGATCTCCTCAAAATTCACTTTCTGAGTTGCCACTCTGCTTTTATAGTGACTGACTGC